CACATGGACTGCCCAGTTTGATTCAATTAAAAGAGGAAAGTCGCTTTGGTCTTGATTTGTTTTGAAGTTGTAACGTATTGAACACGACACGTTTTTGGTACAAAATGTTAAACCACATTTTTTTATTTGTTATTGTCAAAACCATCCACGCACTCTTTCCTCTCCTCACCATGTCAAATCCACACTCTCTCGCCATTATTTATATCACCTCCTCATTTGTTCACACATATATAAATACCAGTTTTATAAGTTTAAATACTTTTTTTGAAAAGACGAATTATTTTCCAATCAAAGTAGTTTTGAATAATTTTTTATCAAAAATCCCATATTTAGTATTAAAGAAAGGCTCATTTTTTAAAGTTTGTAATATTGATGTTTCCATAACAGAATTTAAAATTGTAAACAACCACTTTTTCTAAAATTAAAAACAACAAATTGTTTGAAAGGAAACAATTTGTGAATTGCGATAGAACTGATAATTTTTTTATACTTATTTGTTATTATAATTTTCATTATTTATATTTATTATTGAAAGACAAAAGACGAAAATACACATCTCAATAATATGATATTTTTAATTAAATAACTAAAATAAACTAGATGTTATAAAAACAAATCATTTTGTCGATAAAATAAATTATATCTCTATTAATATCACTTCTTATTTTTAACATTTCAATTATTTTTGTTAATTTTTATAGCAAAGTTTTTTATTAAATAATTATAAAAAACAAATTATAAAAAACTCCAAATAAAATAAATTTATAGTTAAAATTAATTAAACCAATACCATCTCAAATTAAAATTGTTTAAAAATCATTCTCATTGTCGACTTTTCGAGGTTTCTTCCCTTTGTTGACTTTCTTTTTGGTTTCCTTTGAGACTCTATCGAGTCGCTCTTTTTCAAGACGGCGCTTTTTTATTTGAGTGTTTTCAAGAGAAATACGTTTAGGTTCTTTTGTTTCTTTGGGGTCCCCTTCTTTCCCAAGAATTTAGAGGCTTCTCTTGCTGAATTTATTTCGATTCTTATAACACCATGAATCAAATCGGATGGGTTATAATTAGGATTGATTTTTAAAGCTTTTTCTATTTCCTCTTGTGTTGGTTTTTTCACAGCCACTGTGATTCCAGCCTGATAAAATGCGCTTGTAACATTGTTACCATTTGCAACCACTTCCCAAGAATAGAGAATTTCTTTAATTCTTTCTTCTTCTGAAAGGTTCACAAATTTTTTCAAAAGATTTTTAAAATCGGGAGAATCCATTTTTAGAATATTTCCGACTTTGTGCTCAAATTTCCCCTCTTTTTTTCAACTCAAATTTGTGCTGCATCAACCCATTTTTGTTTTGTAAAAACACTTTTTCTATCCCAAAAATTCCCAAGTCTAAAAACTGACACAGATAAGAACTATGGGCAACTTCTTTGATCATTTCGACGTGATTTTCTAAAAATAGATCTTCTATTTGTTTAGAAAAGTGACCAGAGAATCCATCGAGAATTAAGTATGCTTTCGTATCCGATCTAACTCTTATATGCTCTCTTTTTGCCTTAATTGTTTTGAAAAAGACTCTTTTTAGCCAAAGCGTGTAAAGGTCTGTTGTCAGCATACCAGATTGTTGTGTTCTAATAATAGCTCTTCCACTTAAAATAGCAAGCGTGGTGTCTAACAAGGATAGACGTTTTGTTACCACAAGTGGAGTAAGTTTTGTTCCATCAACACAAATGCAACAAAGTAA